AAATCATTCGCAGCTGTGTTTAACATTTTTATTACGTGATATGAATATATAAAATCTCAGTTAAAGAAAATGACAAAAAGTGCTGGGAAGAATATATCTCATATAGTATTTTCAAAAATGGAAAAATGTTGATAAGTGTTGCTCGATGATCAGTTTAGTCTATTATTCCTTATATATGACATTCATAAAATAATTAAATATTTAATGTCATAATTAATGTAAAGTAACTTTATATGAAATGCAAGCAACAACCTTAAACCGGCGGGTATAAAAGGTAGTTTGTATAGTATAGGGGACCATATACTACACTCCCTATACTATACTAAATAGGACCATGGTTTAATAGCACTAATTGCTAAATGCGTTCGTATATACTTGATATATCCCTTTTTTTAATGTTACGTATGTGCACAGTTTAAGTTTTACTTGTAATATTTTGATTTATATTTGTCATAAAACTTTTAATCATGTTTTATTATTAGACTTTATTTAATATTTAAAACTGCAAGGGTATGTGGCAAAGTTTTGAAAACTTAAATCGCTAAGGGCAATTACAATATCGGTATGCTCTTATATCTTATAAGATTTTGGTAATTACGTCCATAAATTACAATACTTTGCTCTTCAGTTATTACTCTTGTTTGGTTTGACCATTAAAATTTGCTTCGAACCAATGATTAATGGTGATTTTGAAAAGATAGTTAAGTTTGCAAAGTTGTCTTCATTGTATTTTGTTTATTTTTTTCGACTTAAAATTTTAAATGTTCTACATAAATATTCATGTTAAAACTTTAAAGATGTAAACTAGCCTATTTGTATTTCTTATTTTATCTATTAAAGAAATATATGAAACATTAAAATATGTACTGGAAAGGTTACATTAATATAACGAAATTTATGTATTTTATATCAATACCTCATGCCCTTACGTTCACTATTAAAAAATATCTCAATTTAAAGGATGTTTGTATAGTTGCTTTCGTAGCTACTGAAGGAACTTTTAATAATATTCTTTCCAGTGCAATAACAAGCGCACTCTCACATTTGGGTGTAGATGATGCGCTCATCAGTTTTATCGGTCATGTACTAACCGGGTAAATTGAGGTACTCTCTGCCCTCGTCTGGATTATACTTGTGAATGAACTGCTACAAAAACTGAAGAATGCAGGTTGAAAGATTATTGTATATGCGGATGACATTGCGGTAAAAGTCATTGGAGAGTATGCTACCACCTTATGGGATGTTCTGCAAAATGGCCTTAATATCCAAAACAAATGAACACTAAATTGTGGCGTTGGGATTAACCCCAGCAAAACTGAAATCGTCGTCTTTACCAGGAAACATGGGTTCCCAATCTTTCTCCACCCTATATTCAAGGTTCTGCGATACTATTTACTGAGAAAGTAAAATTGTTAGGTATTGTTTTCAATAGAAAACTCAGTTGGAAAGAAAATATTTCAGAGCGCGCTAGGAAAGCAAACATTGCGCTGCTCTTATGTCAGAAAGCTATTGGTAAAAGAGTGGGGATTACAACCACGCATTGCTCAGTGGATACACACGAGTGTCATTAGACCAATACTTTTGTATGACATAACCGTGGACGGCTCTTGATAAATCTTCGTACTGTTCTGTACCTAACAGGGCTCAGGGCAGGGCTAAACTCTGCTCTGTGTACAACACTAGCTATGACATTAGATTTACTGCTTCACTTAATGCCACTTGACATCATCAGCAAACATTTGGCAGCATCATCTGCTTTAAGACTCAAAGATACATCACAATGGAGGCAGAAGTGACTGTTAAAGAAAGCTTCAGCTTGTCTAGTAGTAAATAATATACTTGATAGGAATATATACTATCGTATAGTGAAGCGCTTTAAAGTCCTTGAGTTCAGTCCATTTACGGAAGTCTTTGACTGCTACACATCACTTAATGAGATGTCGACGCGGTCCTTATCTCTTTACTCTGGTTTCTCGGTCATAGGGATATTTTCGGCAATTGCAAAGCAGACGAGCTAGCCAGACGGGGTGCTTCAGGAAACCACTCGGAACATCTAAACAACCTGGTCATATCGTTGATACCATGCAATTTGGTATTGAGTTCTTTCTGTGCCAAAATTTTTAATAAAAGATGGGAATGCCTGACGAAATGCAGGTATCTGTTTACGATTTGGTCACACACCAATAGAAGAAAATCAAACTCTCTTATAGAAATGTCCCTTAGAGATATCAGTCTTGCAATAGGTTTACTCACAAGTCAATGTATTCTAGGTAACCATGCTAGAAGACTAAAACTCCTTTTCAACCATATCTGCTGCAGTTGTGGTGAGGACAATGAAATTGCAACCCACCTACTTTACTTCCGTCTAGCACACGCGTGGCGCCGCCTTAACACTTTAGAGGCTTTCTTTTTTAGGATCTTGGCGAACTTCAGGACCTCCCTTTGAATAGCATCAAAAGTTTTGCCAAAAGTTCTAAATGGTTTTAACCCTTAGTTTTTTAATAATATGGTAGCATGGACTATATGACGGTTCATTTTATGTAACGGGTACCAAACCCTGTACACAACTATTAGTTCATTACCCAACAAGTATCAGATGACTCTCTAGGGATGCCACATGCAGGATGTGTCACATCTTGGATTGAGGACGGCTAGGATCGAACTGACAATTTTTAAGTTAAATGCAATCAGATATGAGGCTCGTTCTTCGAACAATTTTATACGTTTAATTTCTTAATAATATAATTTTATAATAATAATTCATAATACAATTAAGTGTTATGATTTGTAATATAGAGTACATAACTGAATTAGCAAAAAATGAGGAACTTTTTTGGTTGACCTTCATATTTAAAGTGGGAAAAGTTTGAACTTGATACTTAAAATACCGTAGTTAATTTTATTTTACTTTGTAGTTTTATTTTTAAATTATAGATATTCTATATGAAAAAAGAAGTGATTATTTGTTGTAAATTGCCAGCTTTTATTTAATATAAAATATTAATATTACAATATTTAATATTGCAGATCAGAATAATAACTTAAAGCATTTTCGAAAATGCTAAATATACAGGAGGATTTCATTTATAGCAACTTTAAAACAATTTGGAACAAAATGTTTCCTTTACGTATTTAACACATCTGTTCGCATATGTCAAAAACTATTTAAAGTAGGAATTATTGATTAAAATTATGGACAACACTTACCACTCACCAAATATCAAATATTTATTGACAGACCAACATTCGGAAGTAACAAGTCAAACGTACACATAAACGCTCTTTATTCGATTTTAAGTGAACTGGAATCGCAGAGACTATCCATCATCCATTCAAAACATGTATCACCAAAGGCTTATTTGTCCATCCCTGAAGTATTTTCAAAAAGGGTTAATTGTGTACTGAAAGAATTTTATAAATAATTCTATTTTCGTACCAATAATCCTTTAAACTTTTTTTTAACATAGCAACATCAATGTGACGCAATCAACGGAGTTTAATTTGTATAAAGAGAATTTTAAATTTGTTAACATTTTGAAAAAGTTGGTCGAAAGCTACGTGGAAAATGTATTTGCTCTCAATTAAAAATTTATTATTGCTGTGGCGGTGTTCTTAAACCAAAATACTAAAAATCGAAAGAACACTACTATTTCTAGTAGAATTTTTAAATTCACTTTTATTAAGGTTATTACTATATTTATTTTAAAAAATATAAAAATATCATTCATATAATGACCAAAAGTTCGGAAATGGATTAGGTTAGAGTTCTTAATATTTGTTTTTTGTTGAGCTTTAGCGAGTATTCTTGTTTTTAAAAAAATAACATACAATATATATATATATACCACTTATATACCACCACTTATTTTAATTGTTGATTGCAAGCAAAAATTACTATGTATTAAATTATTTATAACAGATATTTCGGTCTATTTATTAGACTATTTTCTATGTTATTGATGTTTTTTTCATTTGTTTAATAAATATCAAAAGTCAAATCTATATGAGTATATGAACTCAAATAATACATGTATGACAATCAATGTTTTTCATTGTCAAATTAAAAAATTGTGAGTATGTGATAGCCTGTTAATTTGTACTAATTTTTGTCACCATTTTTTGTTCACTCTTTTAGATTTCCATAATACACAGTATTGAGTAATTACAACATTCTGTCTGTGCAATTTTTTTTCCTGCTGATAATTTTTACGCCTTCGAAAATAAGCAATTGCTTATTTTAATGCAATGTGTTGCTAGAATTTGTTTTGATCAATAGATGTGGGACTATTCTTCATATCATGTTTGTATCCTCTAATTTTTGTTCGAAGTCTATTTTTAGTTGTTCCAATATATACCAACAGGTATATGTCACCACCACAAGAATTTTTTTGTACCAAATTATATTCATCCATTTTATGGTCTTTTGTAAAAACACCAAATTTTTTTAAGTAATTTCGGTCATGCTATTTTGCTGGTTGATTTGTTAGTATTTCAACTTTTGTAAATATTAAGGTAACAATAATGACGATCTGCCTTTTCGCCCGTTAATTTATACAGTGTTCTTTGCAACACATTACTGCTTTTTACTAAACAACAAACCAATTTTTGTGTAGTTATCAAACAGCAAATTGTATTGTAAAATTGTACAAAAAACTACAGGGAAGAAATTAAATCTTATTAATTTTGCCTGCTTATCTATTTACACATTGCCTTAATAATTTTCATTTGTAATGAAAATAATGACACAATTAAAAGTATTCTTATTAAGTCGCTTCATCTGTATTCGTTCGACAAAACATGATTCCATTATCCGCAAAATATTCATTGATCCAAAACATTCGTAATGAGTAACTGCTTTCACTAATAATTAATCAAATATTACTAAACAAAATGTTTCGAAAACTTAGTTTTTGAAATCCAGTAATAAATTATTTTTTTTTTTGAATTTAGTTGTAAAGATTTCAAGTAGTAGTAAAAGTAAATTTTCAACCTATTCAATGTATTGTTTATTTCTAAAATATTTGTTTCTTATTTATTAATAGTATATATTTTTATGTATATATGCGCCTTTAACAAAAAACGCGTTTATTAAATGTTCTGAAGGATTTTAACACGTTTTTATTTAAAATAGATTTGGAAAAATTTGCAAAACTTTCACTTTCAACGATTAAATAATCTACAATGTTTTGTCAAATAAGAATTCACCCAATGCTCCAGGACCCATCTTTATAAGTTGACTCCATTTTCCAGCTAATTCTCGTTTGCCATGTAACTGCTCTTCAAGGTAAACGCCGGTCAACCAGTCAACAATATGATAATAGTTTTTATTTGTTTCACAGGATTTAATTAAAGCGCGAATGGATTTAGTCACTTTTTCTTCCAATTTTAGAGCGTATATAAAAGCATCAGCAGCACTACTCTTGGAATCAAGTTTAATTTCTAAAGCATCATTCAAAGACCTACCTTTAATTTTTAAACTCCTCTGTACAGAAATAAATTAGAATTTATAAATATACAATATAAACAATGCAGCTCAACTTACTGAATTGTCATCCTTCTCTAAAATCTGTAAAGAAATAAATTAAAATGTATAAATGTACAATATAAACAATTCTGCTTGACTTACTGAGTCTTTCTTGATAAGTTCTTCAACATTATTCAAATGGCCACGCATAGATAGATATTCTATTAATTTCGTAGCATGTTCTCTTTCTTCCTTAGCAGCCTTAAAAAAGAAATCAGCAATACCAGGACGATTAATCACATCTTGCGCAAAATGTGCCCCAATATATAAGTATGTATACGAAGCATCTATTTCCATGCGCGTTTGGCTTATAGCATCTATATAACATTCTGCCTTCTCTAAGTCGATCCACTCCGAAAAATTAACAGAATCAACTGAGCCTGTATGTGAAATCAAATTTATTATTAAAAATATTTCAATAGCTATAAGCAGTTAATTTTTTTCTATTTTTGAAATTGTACATTCAAAACATTGTTTGAATCAAATTTATTAAATATTCTAAACTAATTTTAATTTGCTTCTCTTATTTCATTTCCCACATATTCGTCGTTTTTTGTTGCATATTTTATTTCATTGAATAATAGCCTAACAACGAACAAGTTGCCTTTTTTTCTGTTAGTTTAATTTACTGCGTAAATAATTTATATACATATGTTGGGATATTACTTACATGTGTTTTTTCCTGCATAGCAAGACGCAGAAAGAAGAAGTAATCCAAGTAATATTTTCATCATTTTGATCAATTGTATTTAATTATTTGTATTAATATAATTCGTGAGAATTTACAAATATTAAAGTTCTGTAAATTCCAAAGAAATAAATTAATTATTATAGCCTGTAATAGAATATTTATCCATATGTTTACTTTTATCAAATTGTCAAAGCCTTTATACGCACTGGTACAGAAGGCAATCGCAATTGTTACTGTTTGTCACAACTGTCCTTATAGAATGCGTTTTAAATTCAGACTGTCTGTTTTCAATTTCGCGAGTACACTTTTAAACTGTGTGCAATTGCTTCTTTGTTATCTTGCCACAGTATATTTCAACATAAATACTCAACCACTTATAAGTAATGATAATTTTTTGTTTTTTTTTCAATTTATTCACACGACTCTATAAACATGCATAACTTTTCTTTAAAAATATTCAATATCAATTGCAGCAACAATGGCAGCTCAACATGGACGACACTCGATTACATTTTATTATTTTCTACGATTTTCTGGTCGGCTCTTATCTCTTTCTTTTCAAAGCATGGTTGCCAAAGTTTTTGTTTTTGGAAATGTATATATTAGTGGCATTTATAAGAAAAAGAACCTATCGAAAATTGAATTGTACAGTATCAGTAAATAATATATCAAACAACAATCTGAATATTCTTGTCGTTTCAAATTTATATATGTATAAATAACTACTCATATATTAATTTGTTGAATACTAACATGTTTTGGAATTAGAGACATTTCAACAGCAATCTTATCAAACTGTTCTTCAGTGCTTCTATTATATTATCGATATTAAGTTTTTATCTTAATTTACCTCATTGTGAGAAGATCAAAAAATAATACATAGTATCAACCATTATGCAATACACAATACTTAATATGTAGAATTACCATTATATATTATTAACTGAATTATTGAGTAAATATACGAATATTTGATAATTTATATCATTATATGAGCAATTATACTGGATATTAAGCTAGAAATCCTAGCTTATGATACATGTGGAAATAGATAACATGATTGAGATAATGATATGCCCGTAAATAATAAAAAAAAATTCATTGGAGATGGTAACCCTTAATGATTGGAAAATTTTTAAGTACGTAATTTGCTGAGTCATATATTTGGGATTAATATTTTTTTGTTATATATAACGTAGCTTTTATGCATTTTTATAGCATTGGAGTTACAATATTATTAAATAATTATCAGAAGGCAGCCATGTTTTTTGCTTTGTTCGAGAAATTTATATGCATATGAGAGAGAGCTGGTGTAATAAGTCCAAAGAACGAGTGCAAAAGTAAGAAACACATCGCAGTCAATCGATAAAAACGACGAGCAGAAGTTGAAATAAAAACAGTCTAAATTTCGTCTTTAATAAAGGAAAAGCATTGATACCTTCTATACCAGTGTGTATAAAGGTACAAATTGAATATATTAAAAGCAACGACTTTTACAAACTCTGAAAATAAGTGAAAGCTGTAAAAATATAATTAAAAATTTGTAAGTTATTTGCTGCGCATATATATATTTCGAACAAAACATTTATATATGATATTTTACAACGCAAAAAGAAGCAATCGTTTTTTATGTCATAAGAAAATTAATAAATGTCTAGAATAGTATATAGCATTATTATCCAACATTTTTGTTTCAGCACAAATTGAACCTGAAAAAATGAAGTTGTTTGCCTTCATTTTGGTATCCTGTCTATGTGCTGCTGTGTACGCAGCCACAGAAAAGAAAGAAACAGCCACAGAAAAGAAAGAAACATGGACGACGTCTAATAATTGCAACATGTTGTTGGAAAGAGTCTGTTTACAACCATCACCTCTTAGTAAACTTACAAAAAATGTGCTGTATTTGTTTGTTAAATTATTAAATCTTTATTTTTTTAGAAATAGACGGAAAAATTGCTGAGCTCTGCAATGCGAAATATAATATTTTTGATAATAAGCATGTGAGTGATTATGTCGGGGAGCTCTTATTTAAATCCTATGAGTACCTATATTTGGCTACACGTTTCGGTGCATATCAAAAAAATCGTTCTGGATTCCAAAAGTTATACAAAGAACTATCAGATAAGCATTTTGACGAGGCAATTGATTTAATAAAACATATTAATAAACGTGGTGTTTCTATCAATATGCTGGAGATAATTAGTAATTCTAAGGAGTATAAAAAAGATGTGAAATTTTATAGTCTTGACAAAGATGAACTGCATTCTTTAGGTATTGCATTGGACATAGAAAAAGAACTGTTTGAGAAGGCTGCAAATGTTACTAATCACGCAATTCACGACATCGATAATACCGAAAAAAATGGGCGTCATACTAAACATTATAAACACCGTGATCCGGAATTTGCTCATTACTTTGAGGAAAAGTTCTTGGGTTCTCAAGCAGAAACTGTGCGTAAATTATCTGGTTATTTTAATGATTTATTGAAAATAGTGCGCGACGAACAGCAAGAGCTGGGCTTTTATATGTTTGATGAGTATTTGCAAAAGCAGTAAATTCATTTTTAAAAATTGAGTTACTGTATTTCAAATTTTTAATATTTTATAAATTTTATGTAAATACAATTTGGTGATTATTAATAAACTTCTTTTGAGCAGAATTAATATGTTAAAATGTTTATTTTTAAATGTTTCATAGCAATTGACATCATATGATTTCATATTATAGAAACGTTTTTTGAAAACAAATACAAAGTGGAAACAAAAACTAACAAAAAATATACGAATTTTCAAATATGACTTTCCAGTGTCTCAACTAAACATTATCTAAAAAATGTTTTTGGTGTAATTATTGTTTTCTTTATAACCTGCGTATAACCTGCGTTGCATAGAAAAAAGAAAAGATTTGTCAAGAAATTAGTGATAAATGCAAGGAATCGTCGTAGTATCAGAAATAATCAAATTTCAGAATCAGTTTTGTCCATGTATTTGTTGTAAAAATCGCAAGTTATTTGAAAATGATTTTAAGCTAAATGTTGTAATGTACAAATACATGGAATATGTATGGATATTTACTAAGGTGAACGAATGTTTGTAATTACATCAACAACACTCAATATACCATAAACTCTAGATAAGATTTTTTCAGTTTGAGCTAACGATGTAGTACCAAAGCAAGATGGAGTAAGCTGTTCACATTTTAATTACCATGATTTTTTATTACTCAATGTGTACTCCAAAAAACTGGAATTTTTAGGGAGTCAGCCTTGAAGGTATTAGGCGACCCTAATTAAAATTGTTGCTATAGAACCTCTCATTAAGGTCACTTACAGAGTAGAACATCAATGCAAACAAATAAAAGTCATTCTTCACTAGTAATACTTTTTCTGCTCTGCTACTATAAATGTATATACCATTGTAACTATGCATTTACAGTACATGAATTCTTACCTAACATTAGCTTGAAGACAATACAATATATGAACATGAATCGATTTATTCTTTTAAAAACAGTGTCTGCGTTGATAATGCTGTGTTGGGTTTCTATGATCAGTCGTTAGCTCATTACTAGAAACACTATAGTTTTTGCAATTAGTGTCAGATGTGAACCTGTAACTTCGTATAATTATGTACTGATAATGATATTTTTCACAACTTTGATGTAAATTAGAATATCGACTATTCATCCCATTCGATGCAGGTAAGGTCAGATGGCCTTTATCTATGACTAGGTTAGCTTTACATTTGGATAAAGTAATACATTTCTAGCATTCATCTTATAATACTATTTTTAGCCGAACTATTTCAACAATAACACCTCGATATTAAACTTGTTAATATAGATTTGCATATTACTATTCTATAGAATACAGTTTGTTTTTTGGTTTACTTAGGTTTTCAAATATTTTTGGTTTATTTAAGTTTGTTATACTGAAGTATTCGATATACATAACAATTTTCTATTTAAATAATATAATTATACAATTTTAAAAGTTAGTAATATGGATACAGTTATTAGTAAAGGGAGGAAGGAATACTTTAACAAGGCTATATAATTGAACTAATTTCAAAAGTGTACACTTAAGAATCGAATTAATTGAGGCGTAATATAAGTTAAATCTTGTTAATATAGCAAGGAAACACGTAGAACTACCGTCAATTAAGCGTATTTGAATTACCCATAATTCTATAATTAATTTGCCCATATACATAAATGGCGTCATCAAATCAGACTGAAAGATGCGTGCGATTGTGCAATAACAGATTACAAATGATGAAGGAATTGCTCAGTATCGCCCAACGGTATCGCATCGTTCCAATTGTCGAATAAAATGTTAAGCGGCAATAATTGCTCTGTATTTTTGGGTTAGTTTTATGGAGAAAACGGGCTATTATATAATAATCCATTTAATATTAATTGCCATGATTTAACATTAGGTTTCGTTTTTCTCTCGAAACTTCTGTGTGCATTGAAACATGCTTTTATTAATTTTATTGCCGTGAACAATGCTTTAAGGGTGCTTTTTTCGTGTGGAATACCTTTTTTAACTCATAATTGCACTGCAACAGTTAAGCATTCATCCTTTTTTTGAGTGTATGGTATTTGGAAAACTATTTCATTTTTATAATAACATTAATATTTGTGAATAATATTTTTTTAGAAATGAAAATATGGAAATAAATGAAAAAGGATTTAAATTTATGCATTTTAATTAGGTGTACGGCGCAATTAAAATTTAAATTAAAAAGCGTATGCACCATATGGATATTTGTTAGGCTATGGCGTAGTGCTGTGAAAATTATGATTACCATATTTTTAAGTAAATACCAGTCAGTCCATCTATCACGTCAGCATAGAGAATGGAACTTACTTATTAATTGACGACTATCAATAGAATTTTTCTGGACTTTCAGACTTTCAGTTAATCTTTCTTGATCTTTCTAGCATTGGAAAATTCAAAGGTAACC